CAACAGTTAATTATATTGATAGAAATAAAAACTGTAAATTTTTTAAACGTTACAATTTTTGGACAAAAGTATCGCAAAAGTAGTAACTGATCTAATGCGACTGAGATCGAAATCTCGAGCAGTGCAGATTTTTAGTTACACTAATATAAAAGCTTAGTTTTATGTCAAAATTTCATTTAGTTTAGTTAACTTTGCCTCTACATAAAAAAATATAGCTTTAATATCACACAGAAAACAATACATATAGCTGAATAAATAAGAAAAATATATTTTTGCATATCTAATATTAGTCAGGATATGTTGCCTAGCATTCCAAAACGAGCGTCATGTAAACTTTGCTTAACAACGACGCACTATGTTGCTATGGGCGTTCACGCATCGATCTCCGCAATCTTACGTCACCGCGATGCCATTGGAATTTAGACCCCGCTGAATACATTGAACTTCAAGGCCTCATGCCTCAAAGTCCGTTAACAAAATTTCGGGCCTCTACACATGCATTGGAAAATTGTTATAATTTACATATTAAATCTATATTTATGTTCTACAGGTGATAAAATATATTCGCTTAGTATTTTTTCCTGTTTGTAACTAAACTAAGCTTTATTTTATATGTAACTAGCATTGCCCGCGGCTCCGCCCGCGTTCAGATGACCAAGAACCAAATTCTTAGATTTACATATTAGTATACTCTTACATTGCAGTTTTTGTATTTTTTCTCAGAAATGAGATATTTCCCGCGGTAAAAATTATCCTATATATTGACCCGGATAACCATCTATCACCATCCAAATTTCATCAAAATCCCTCCAGTGGTTTTTCTGTGATGCGGTAGCAGACAGACAAAAATTCTAAAAACTATAGATTCGGCCTCTGTATCGATAATAATGTTTATTCCAATAAGATTTTCTAAAAAATATTTAATGTACAGATTCGGCTTAGTTACAATTTTATTATATGTATAGATTTATTTTACTACCATTTAAATTTTATGTTTAGAATAATTACACGTATGCGTCGTCTCATTTTAGTATTATGAGTTCAAAAATTAAAAGAAAGTTTAACAGTTATTAAAAATATATACATACGAGTACATGTTTTAATTTAAAATACAGCTGTAGCAGTTTACAATAAATGTTTATACAGAACACAAAGTTTCGTTATGTGAATCTATGAATAACTTACTTCACAATGCTCGTTATGAGTCAAAATTTATTTGGAGTAAATCTGCAATTATAGTGTGGGGTTTGACTTGTATTAGCTAGCCATTGCCCGCGGTTCCGCCTGCTTATATTATTTATGTATAATAATTACTGCGCTCGTGAGAGTTTTAGCGTCATAATAAATATACTATATAAAAATTTCTTAATATTAAATGCAAAAAAGTATATAGCATCGTAATTCCATAAATAAGTTTATGTGAACAAACGAAAATAAAGAAAAAACATAAAAATCGAGTTTAAATATAACTTAATGCCTTACGAAAATATTTAAATAATTATATCAAAAATCCCACTTTAGAAATTTTATATTTGATTAGCAGTTTAATTTGTTATTTAAACATAAGAAATATTATACGGACTGTAAGAAGAAAATGACTATTGCTAACAATGTCGCGTGTTTTGATGCTAATCTATTGTCACTGAGGGCAATGAACGAACGTTGAAGATATTTTTGTATAATGAGAGGTAATTGACATAATCCAACGTAGAGCACTCGGCGTTGCAATGTAGATCTTGTAAGAAATTATGTATATTACATTTCTACTTTTAACGAAATCGTAATATTATTTCCTTTATTATATATATATATATATATATATATATATATATATTTATATATGATATGATTCTATTTAATATATAGATTTCTCAGAAATTAACATAGAATATATTATTATAATAACTAGTGCCTTACCCTCCCTTCACTCGGGTGCGTCCCTAAGCACGCGCACATAGCGTTGCTACAGTTCAATAGGAAGATCTTTTTAAAAGGAATTATTTCTGTAATTTTTTTTCCGTATAACTTTATTATGTTTATGCGGCGCACGCCAGTAAAGCTCCCAGTCGACCTAATTTTTTCCGACATCTTCAACAACAGACATACAGACAGACAGACAGACGCGGCGGAGGACTTTTTTATAATAGGTATGTACTATGTAGAGATACAAAAAATGTGTACCTAACTTTCATATTCATTTGAATGTGAGGATCTTAGATTACTATTGAATGTAGATCTTAAACACAGTTGACTTAGCCATACAATTGGCTCCCCCCCCAACGTGTGTTTACCTTGTCGTGAGGGTTACTCATTAGCGTCCGGCAGTTCAGCCGGGCGCGAGGCCACGGAACGCACTGGGAGGTGGCCCACTTCGGTGAGCGGTGTACCATGTGCTTTGCTCCTGGTACTTCTCTGACGACAGACAGACAGGCCGTTGAAGCAACCCCATGGTTGTCTGCTTCGGCAGACCTGCTGTCGAGGCGTCGTGGTTGAGTGCGTAAACGATTCTGCGACGCCATATTAAGACGGGGGAGGTTCCGTTGGGTTTCAGTGGGTAGTACTGGCTTTTCTAGCCGGTAAGTCCCACATAACCAACTGTATGACTACAGGGGGTATGCTTAAATGCATTACCAACATAAAAAAATTAAAACCATACCTACACTGGCTTAACAAAAGTTCACGCTCACGAGTTCATGTTCTTGTATAACAGTCGGGTGCATTTATGGTTGGCGGGTATTTGTATTAAAAATTATGTTATTTTTAACTATAATTAATTTGTTATTTATAATAATTTTATTAGTCATATTATTTGTTTTCAAACATTAGTATATTATTTATTTTAGTAAAAAAGCAATAAAATTATGTTATCGTTGTGTTAATACGTACAATCTGTCATATTAAACGAGCTCCAATTTTCTCAAAAGTAGTGAGTATGGTGGTTTTGTTGTATTATATGATATAAAAAGTGCAGTTTTTGGGAGCCCTTTTAGGGGACAGAGTTCAGTTTTAGTAATGCTCCTGATTCTTAGGGGGTATTCAAAATGCGTATCTATACTAATATTATAAAGATGCAGAGTTTGTTTGTTTGTTTGTTTGTTTGTTTGTTTGTTTGTTTGTTTGTTTGTTAGAATGCGCCAATTTCAGAAACTACTATAACTACTAACTAAACTACTTGCATTAGATAGTTTATTTAGGAGGGCTATAGGCTATATATGACTTCAAAAATTTCGATAAGGTGATTGAGTTTGATTGTGCAAGGCTTTTATGATTATTCGCATGTTGAATCCGCATTTGTCTCAATATCGGTAAAGTAATTAGGTCTAAATTAATATGTATAATATTTATTGTCGGTAGGAGCAGGTGTTTATAGCGTAATCGCAGCTGATGTGACGTAAAAAGCAAGGCGATTGTAATTTTATTTATGTTTAAAAATATTTTTTGTTTGGAAATAACTTACATTTTAATATAATTGTATAGATATTTAGTGTATGATAATTTAAAGATAATTATTAGAGTTACACCTTTATTTTTACTTCCGAAATCATCTCTCTGTTGATATACCATTGGGCATTCATTTGTGTGATGAGCACGAATGTTTGTACTCCAGTCATGGGTGTTTATATTTATAATATGTATGTATTTAAAGTTATATATGTATAATGTATCAACTATCTGGTATACATAACACAAGCCTCGTAGCTTACCATGGAACTAGATGGTGCTGTGTGTTAATATCCCAACATATTTATTTATTTAACTTTCGGCGGTAAGTACTCAGAATTTCATTGCTTTTAAGAATATCTAACATATTTTGTTCAGATATACACTATGGAATGAAAGCATCATTTTTTATCCTCTCTTTGACAATAAATAATATTAATGGTATCCTAAATCATTTGTTACTCAAGGTTTCTGTCATTACTATCGATTGAAATTTACTTTGAAAAATAACGCCAATGTTAAAAATTGTCTATATTCTCGTATGCCTAAATATTCTCCCTCATGCCTTCTCCATTCTACGTGACATTGGCGAAGTAATCTGTGCCCCACTTTCACGTTTCGAAGCCATGAACAAGAAAATTGAATTGGATGCCCTAAATACTTGGGAATTGGCTGTGTAATACATATTTTTATCATTGTTTTTTAGCTCCGTTTTAATCCGCATAATAGTAAACAATGCTTGATATACTTATTTTTAAAATGAGGAAAATAACTTGAATGTAAATAAAATCCGACATGGTTAACAAATGATAAAAGTTAGAATTCATCGCAACCGTATACTAGTGACCCAAATATTTCTCTATAGTGACATCCTATTGCCTTTAGCTGGAGTTCTATTCACTCGACGCTCAATATCAAACAAAGCATCCCAGATACGTACGATGGCTATATGCGATATATGTAATAGCGATGTCATCTGCAGCTGGCGCTCTGACACCTGAAGCCTCGGCCATTCTTATAACATAAAAGTTTCTAATTAAATTCTCAGAAATCGATATTTTTATACCATAATGATTCCATTTAGTGTGTGTAAAAGTATATTGCAAGTGATATACGTATTATATATCAAAGGTTAGTTTATTTATGGAAAAATATTTTTTGGAGATTAAATAATATAATGTTAAAAGTATGTAATTGTTATTTTTCGATAATATTTTACTGGATACAGTAAAACACAGAATTAGATATGACGTTAAAATTTGAGCAAAGCATTGCTATTTTCAATGTTTACTTTTTGATAAAGCCCAGATAAAAATTCGTTGTAAACAATTATATTTATGCGAGTTCGAACCCACGACCTTAGGTATATTACAGGTAAATGAAGAGTCACCAATCAGTCCTTAATGTATGTAATTTAAATCGATTTTATATAATAATATTCCTTAAAACGGTTTAATCTTATTAAAGCGACGAATCATTCGAAGCGAATCATACAAGCATTTAATTAGTTTTATAATTAGCCATAGCAGACTTCACTTTAATGTTTGGTGACCGTATTATGATTGTGGGTTGTGGGTAAATTCCCGATAGAGTTGCTTTGCCTGGATTAGGCTGGCAGCTCCCGGCTCACCTTGGAGAGTAATTATAATGATCGGCGCCGGAACCCCAGTCTGGAACGGGAGTCCTTCCTGAAGAGGCGTGCCGAGGGTGGCGCAGCAGAGTACGCCCACCCGGCTTCCGTCCCTTTCACTCTTCAAGCAAAATTGTACCAAAATATCGTTTTTCTCACTCACCCGTCCTGTCTCGACCACCCACGCCCCACGCATTGTAATAACCCAATTTGTAAGAACCCCCCCTTTTCAAGGACGGCCGTCGGTCTTTATGGCGGCGGCGACGACGGCGTTGATTCCCCGACCTTGTTTATTTCAGTTTCTTTTTGTTTAGGAACTGGCTGAACTTATTTTCGTACGCCCAGGTCTGCGTTATTATTGTAATTAGATGAAGTTTAGCGGCGCTTATCGGACTTTTGCTTCCCGAATAGCTATCGATTGATTCGGCTTATAATCGATAAACAGAACGTGTTGCATACTAATTGTATGACAAATTGTTTTCTATGTGTAATCAATTCAATTAAAATCTATCACAATGAAAAGAGAATTTGTTTTATAGTAAATGTGACCTACTTAAGGGATTACGGACATAAAAAATGATGGAGGTTGCCTCATTTGTTTAAGTCATCTGAAAGTTCAAGGCCGCGGAGTCCCACCAAACCCTGCCTATAGGGCCGTCTAGACGGTTTCACACCTCCATTACTTTAAGGGTCCATCTGAATTATAAGTTATGGATATACAGTGACATTTTTTGAGTGGTATCGCAAACTTGCGTGCGCTTCTTTTTAAGTTTGTAGATATTAGGTATAATCGCCATGTGTAACTGTACCAGATAGTTTGAGATTATTTTATAGTTTGTTTATATTACATATTTTTTTAATTTTTTTCTCTAACAAAGCGCTGAAATTAGGTTTTGAACATTTTTGTTTTATGGATTTTAATTTTCGCTGTTATATCAACACTGTACAAACGTTCAGGTACTCTAAAAGCTGACGGATACACAATCCACATATCAAACCATTACGGGAGTATTTGACATTTTAAAAAACAAAAAAATATAAATCCGCTAAAAACCGCAAAAATAGTTTTATTTAAATTTTATCGTTACGATTGGGAATTTTGGATTTCTTTAAATCTAATAAAGTAAAAGGCCTGAAAGCGGGCTTGTAGTTGTCGCGCTTTTCTTCAAGACTGAGAACTTATGACTCAATTGTTTATTATTATTTAGCTATTTTGATGAAAGTTTCTTTGTTATGGGACATAAACAACAAAACAACACTAATCAAAATCAATTTTAGGTACACTAAACAAAATCCCCGTAAGTTATTTTATTTTGCTTTGTAGACAATTAATTCGTATTTTAATTCAGATAGCCTTCAACTTATCAGCCTACACGTGTTTGGGTCTGAATGGACAGACTCTCCCCGGCGCCACCCGGCTCGGGGGTAGGGAGCCCATGTTGGAGGAAAACAAAAAAATTCTTTACCTCTTAAATATATTGCTGGTTTGATGAAAATTTTATATACAATTATTTTGTTTTACTTATAATATTTGTCAGAGAATTTTGTTTTGGACTTTTAAGAATTGTGTATTGAATATTTAGACAAATACAAATGGTTAGAGACATAATGTTATAAATATTTATTGTATATTGACAGACATAATTATTTTATTTCTCTAGCTAGAGCGTGACTTTAAGATAAAATATAAAATAATACGAAATTCTATTATATAGAAATTCTATTTCCATAACAATTAATATTAGTATTAGTATTTTTTCTAGGTTGAAATATTAGGCATGTAATATATTTTACACAACGCAAGCTTCTTTACTCACTATATTCTATGGGATTTTAAATGAATGTGGGTAAATATTTTGTTCGCGAATGTCGAATAAATTAATTTCATCTAGTTAATTCTTGCAAAAATGTCAAAGGTATTTCAATTTCTTGATAAAATGGATAGAACATTACGGAGGAAACTAGATTTCTTTGACACTAATCTGTTTTATATTCTCGAGATTTGTAAATACGTGATATATTTCCTTTCTTCATTTTTAAAGGCTTTTAAGTTTCGTCTCTAAGGACACCGGGGTAAATGGAGAACCTACTGGGGAGGGACCTAAGCATTTCAATTTGGGACAATAAGAACCTACTGAAAAAACCTACAGTCTAGAAAGGACGTGTAACGTTGACTTTTAGTCTATTTCTCAATTTATATGTTACTTGAAATGTACATGCGTGAAAGCGTATCATATTTAGTAAGTATAGGTGGTTTGTAAAAAATTAAAAAAATAAAAACATAGTGGGTGTGCAGATTTATGAAGTGCAGAAATTAAGAGAAATTGCTCCTATAACTTTTTTCCGTCATAATGGAAGTATTATATATAGAATTTATATCACTCTTTCTTATGATCCTCATAAAAATAGTTTATACATCAATCCATATTTTATATTATATTTCTACTATTTCTTTAACATCTCAATTTGTAAATATTTCTTAATTTAACGAGCGTTTATGTTTTATTGAAAACTGGCGAATCACAGTCGCTTCGCTCGGGTTTGCCTTTAAACAAAACAAGTCTTTCTCACGGGAACCGTACATTTTTTCGGAAGAAGATTTAGACTATAATCTATCTCTGTGCCAAATTTCATCCAGATCGGTTCAGCCGTTCTATCGTGATTGAGTAACAAACATCCAAAAATCCATCTAAAATTTCACATTTATAATATTAGTAAGATTTTCCAAATAGATTTATATAAAAAGTTTTTCCTGCAAATAACAAATAATTCTAGAAAACAGCATACTTTACGTAATTCTAAATGGCCGTCTAGAACTGGACAGTTCTGACGGAGACGACTTAATCCTAAAAGAGGTTATTAGTCCTTACTCGTAGGAAGAAGTATTTGTTTGATGCTTATATTTACTTTCATTTTATTTCTTTATTAAATAGGAGATATTTTTTTATCAATTACATGCTTATTCATATTATTATATTATTAGTATTTATTAAAACCTGTTTCGTATACAGACAGACATTATTGAAGGCAGGTCCTTGTTGCCTTCATTAATAGAATCTATACTAATATTATAAAGAGGAAAGATTTTTTGTTTCTTTGTTGGTACCGAATAGGCTCCAAAACAACTGAACCGATTTAGATGAAAGGTAAGAAGACAGTTTGAGATCCTGGAAAGGACATAGGGTAGTTTTTATCCTGGAAATCATACCTTAAATGGATGAAAGTTTGTATGAAGAAGCAACCTATTAGTTAATAATTTATTGATAATTTATTTTTATGTTTTTCTTTAATTAACATCAGTTTACAAAATTCACTGTAGAAATTATATTTTATTTATATTTTCATTTCATGCGGGATAATAAAATACATAATGAATACTAAGTCAAAGGAATTATGTGAAACGCCTCATATGAACTAAATTAAAACGGCAAAAGCGCTGAAAATCGAGGCCGCCCATAGTCTGTAAAGGAAACTGGCACGAAGCACGCACAAAAACGCACGCGAGTTCTTTTTCCAGGGATATGTTATCGAATAATGACGTAATCCATCAAACCTCACCTATTATACTCTGTGTATAAAGCAATTCAAAGGCATGCCTTTCAAATACTTCAATGGATACAACACGAACGTGTTTAGCCGTGAACTTTGAATTGCACGAGTTTCAAATCGATTTTCAGGCGAATGTACGACTGGAACTAAAATGGCTTAAAATAGGCGTATTTATATGAAACTAGCGACTCACTCTCGCTTCGCTCGGGTTCGTTCCTGGCTTGCTTCCTCATACAAACTTTCATCCCCATTCAAACCCTCATTTCGGGATGATTTCCGGGATAAACACTATTTCACTCAGTCACTTTTCATAGTCTCAGTTTCAAAATCTCTTAATTTTCTTCTTTACAAAACTTCCTGACAATAAAAAACACAAAAAAAGAATTATAAAATTTGGTGCAGTCGATCCGAAGTTATGCGCGTACATACATTTCGGTGATTCATTTTTATTTATATAGATGTTTATTCTTTGAAATTAAAATCTGTTTAACGCGTAATTCGTAACCGTTATCTAACAGTAAGCAAAATAAAACATTATCAAGTAAACTATGCCCACATAAGTAGAATTAAGAAGGTCATAGTTCATAGTATATTAGTAATAAAAATCATCTCATCAAGTCACGTTCAGATTTCAAGGGATAGTTTAATATATACCAAAAATATAAAGAGAGTACTCGAGTGGATAATATTTGGCAAGCGGACGGTTGTTATAAGGCTTCGCTTTTGTGTGGGCTTCATTGTCGCCTAGATATAGGTTTTGTCTGCACACTATGATCGCAACGGATGAACAGGCCGTTGGATCCCCTTTAGTACTTTATTAAAAAAATGGAAAGGTCACATTCTTTAGATAACAAATAATACCGTCATATATCTATCCTTCATACCCAATGCAAAATAAGAATCTTTGACTCATAATCAACTCAACAGTTGGGGCACTGCTGAATATCATAGAAGATATTCATGGTGGACAGCACCAAGCTTACGGTATAATGGTCTTACTTGCTTCTAACAATGCTTTCAACTCTGTTGAACTTGACATCTTATTGGGACTCTTCGTGCGGTCAACGTTTTTCCTACTGTTATAGACTGGTTTCAATCTTATATCTTCGGATGTCAGCAATGTGTGAAAACCAACGATATACTATTGGATTGGTTAGATCTTACTGGTGATGTAACTGAAAGTGTCGTACTTTCCCCTTTGCTGTTTTCCATCTTTATTAATAACTCCTCAATATTCTTAAGATTCTTTTGATTGATGAATTTTCCTTTCTATTTTCGTTCTTTCTTGCAAAATCTCCCTATCACTCACGTTCCAGGAAGCCTTGCGGCTTGCATCACGTCTATGCCGGAAATACCCAAGAGTAAGACAAAGTTATATTAGCATTCTTTCTCATCTAGTGTATGCCGCCAACAAAGCTCTTTTTAACTTCCTTTAAGATGAAAATAAAACAGTACTTTCTGACGCAAGTCGCTTCATAATTATGAGAATAACTATTATTATGTACTATGTCTTTAAGTATATATGTTATTGTATTATATATAGTATGTATGTGTGTATATAATAGTATGTACATTGTACAATAAGGTCTGCATTTATAAAATTTGTCTTTTATCTTAGTTAATTGTATGTATATTATTTACAATTTT